TATATATACAGTATACATATATATACTTTAAATAAAATTCTCTTTTTTGAATTATATTGGTGCACTTTAAGTATTTATTTATTTATTAGTCAATTTATATATTTCTGCTTTTATGCCAGTTTCGGTCCTCCGTACTGCAGAAGGCTGATAATCACCCATTCATTCAAATCAGGTGTGTTTGAGCAGAGAAAAAAATAAAACATGCAGGGCTGCGGCCCTCCAGGACCAGGATTGCCCACCCCTGCTCTAAAGACTAATAACTTCCTGACTTTATCTGAGGAATTAATATAAAGTAAAAAATGTTCACACATTATCAGATGTGTGAAACTTTTGTTATAAAGCAACATTTATCCAGAGGTGCATTAATTATTAGAAAGAAATATAGTAAAAGTAAAAATTAGTTTGGTAAAAAATAATTTCACTATTAAGAAAATAACTTAAAAGTCAGTCAGGAAAGTAAAAATTAAAATAAAAGTACTTTTACACACTCTTAGAAATTAAGTATKAAATTTACTTAAGTGTTGTGAACCAGTTCAACTAAACCAAGCTGAATATAGCAATTTACTGATATCATAAAAAGGCATTGGTTGATTATTATAAATGGTATTATTTAAAAAAATAATTTTTTATTACTTATAACTATAACTTCATATTAGGAAATATGAACAAATTCATCTTGTGCAGCGAGTCACACTTTCAAGATTAGATTAATAAAATCAATATACAAAATATACCTCATTATGAAATAGTTCAAAAGGCACCAAACAGAAGGAATGATTCATTAATTAAATCACCTTGTTGAAAACTCAGAAACCTTTTAAAAACACAGTAAAAGTTACAGTAATACAGACAAGATGAAAAACAAACAAAGATGATTGTGAGCAGAAAAAGATTGGAAATGTTTACTTTCCTGCACTTTAGTGAAGCTATTTTTATGCTGAGAAATCCTCAGATCCAATTAGAGGTTTCCTTCTTTCAAATAATGTCAATATTTCCTCATTAAAACATTTAAATACACTAAACACAGAGTTCAGAGCGATTTTCTGAGGCTTATCCTGATCAAGCCACATCTCTGGAACTATTCACCTAATCAGGATGATCCAGGTATCAAAATGTCGCTTAAGACACCAAAAATGTGTAAAAATTACTAGTTTAGTTTGACCAGATATGAATTAATTCATTATTTGATGTGACAGGTCACTTATTGGGCCTCATGCAGGAACATGTTCGTATTCTTATCCTAAATTTCTCTTA